AATTTCAATTATTTCATTAACATTTATTATTTTTGCGATATAAATTTTTCAATGTAATTTTCATCATTTTATTAGGAAATTTTCAAAAAATTTCGAAATTTAACATTCGAAAAAGTCATATCCTACGTAAATTTTTGGATGTAAAATTACATGGAGTATGATTTTTTTGGACGTAAATTTTCTATTGTAAAATTTCTACCAACTTCTTTGTAAGTCCGATTGTGCCCCCCCAACGTTAAAGTTCTGCATCCGCCCCTGCTCTCACAAGCTACTCAAATAGCGTCGCGGTGCCAATTCTCATCTCTCAAGCCATTCGCTCCCTCCTAGCCCCTGCTCCTTTCTCTCAATAGCTGCTTACAAGCCTGGTTCGTCTTCTTCTTCCTCCTTTTTTTTATGTTTTGAAATTGGGCTGCCTTCCTTTTTTTTTTTGAAATTGGGATGCCTACCATTGTCCTGGTAAGTGAATTCTGCTGTCTATTGTTTTTATTTTATGTTATTTGATGTTTGCTAGGAAAGTGTTTGATGTATAGTCTCGATGAAATTGTTCTGTAGTTGTGGAGTAAAAATCATAGTCGTGATTTAATGGACAAAAATTACAGGGGAGTATACATTTATGGAATTAAGGAACGGCTGTATAGAGATTCATGTGCTAATAGAAAAGAGTAGTTACTTACTTTTGGGTAAAAGTAGTTATGATACTGTTAAGAAGTTTCTAAGAGTCTGCACTTCAGAAATTATCATGATACATTCCTGTTACTTTAGGACATATTGGATGCATATAGTGAATTCAAGGTTGTAGTTGCTATTAGTTTACATTGTTGGATCACTTTTAGTTTTAAGCAAGAACAGGGTTCTATTATAAATTTAGACATTTATTTAGAAAAATCTGTTGTCCACGTTTAGAGTGAACTGTCTATGTAATTTGGTGGAGAGAACAGCAGAATTAGAGTATTTAGAATGATATTAGGTGTGCATATTTTTAGTCATGCCAAATATCCTTTTTTCCAAACAGGGCCCATGCCACTGTCAACTTCTTATGATGTTAATAACCTGAAACAAGATCACTTTGTTGCTCAGACTTCCTTTCCAGGCTACTTCTAGCTAGTTGTACGAATATTTTGAGTACACTACTTTCATTTTCAAATAATAAAACCCTCATCTTACCCTCTGTTATAAAGTGTGTTTTTCTTTAAGTTTCGTTCTGACTTTCTTCATACGTGCCCATACGGTGTTTTTCTCATGAAGAAACCTCATTAGAGACCTAGTAAGTTTCAGGATCTTGCATGCTAAAAGTTATAAGCTTAAATTATTGAAAAATTTAAAAATGTGAAGATAATTTGTATGTCCATGTCAGATGAGAATGTTTGATATTTTTGGAACTTTCCAGGATGATAACAATTTGAAGAAGCAAAATCGTCCTGTTCTGGCTCGATTCTTCTCACCCATCTTGCTGAAGGTTTTCATAATGTTTTGATTAAACTGAACCATGTTCAAATAACTATTATGCAACAAACCTCTAATTAAATTTCATTCTCTTTCTGCAGGCATTCGATTTTTGGGGTTGTGTGACAGTTTTTGGTAACTGATTGAGAGATTGATTTATGATAAGTGAACTTAAGTTGATAGCTATTGTTGTTTTGGTACTGGAACCTGCATTATTTATTCCTCACTCAATTATTCCATAGCCGAGAGTGCTGAGAATGGTCTCTGAGTTGAGGGAAATGCTTGAGAAAGAAGAACATGAAAGGAAAAATATTTGAACTTTATCCTTTGCTAGTTATGTATTACATGAAAGAAAAAAGATTTGAACTTTATCTTTTGCTAGTTATGTATAACATGAAAGAAAATGATTGAACTTTATCTTTTGAACTTTAAGTTTCAAGTTTCATATACTGAAGTTTATTCTTTATTTTTCTATTGTTATTGTTGTTTTATTCAGACTGACTATTATATGTGCTTTTAGTATTCAAGTGGTAATCAGTAGGCTTTTCAATAAAGGCTGGATGACCTTGTCTCTTTGATTATGTAATTTGATTGATTAATTTTTTTGAAATGTACTACTTATTTGTTTAAAGGGCATCTAGTGTTCGTACCGTCTCACTTCATTGAAGGGGCACTGAATTGCCAAACAAATCTGGCAAGGTACAAGGCCAAGACAATCGTCTTGATGAAATAAAAGCTGATAAGGAAGGAATTTGCGAGCTCAGCAGAGATATAGGCACTTGCAAGGGTGGGATTCCGCCAGAGATTTGTAACGATGAACACCTGGATGGACAAGAGCATAGTTATCAACGAAAAGCCTCTAATGTTATTGAAGCTGAAGATATAGACCACAATCAAGATGCTGATATGTCTTTTGATAATGAGGGGTATAATGATGAGAATGATATTGCCATGAAAAAGAATGCTTTCTTAGGCTCTCAGTGCACATACAGCCAAGATTCCTTGGCAACAACTGATTGGAGATATCTAAATCTGAGCACAACATGCAAAAACGGTGGACCTTTATTGGCCTGTAGTTATCGCATTGGAGAGTTTCCGTTCGGACATGGACAACAAGCGTCTAGCTTTGCCTTGCGCTCTTCATTCTATTCCGTGTTGCGGTTTATTAGTCCCTTTTTGTGTCATTGTTTCTATGCAATTTGAAGTTTGGATAGTTTGTTGTAGCTTTGAGCTTTATAGATGATGCAACATGAACTCTTTAATCTTTACTCCTTTTTAGATATGTTGTGTTGTATCACATTTTAATGTTGTATTGATTCAAAAATTTGTAATGAAATTTTCAATTTTTATGCAATTTCAAAATTTGTTCATAAAGTATCATTTTCAATTTTGTGAGTTAATTACCATATAAAACTAGAAAAAAAAAAAGCGTATATGGCAACGTTGAAAAAACGTTGTAAAAGACTTTTTCGCAACGGTGAATAAACGCTGTAAAAAGTCTTCCCTCAACAGAAACACCGACCCCCGTAACACATGCTAAAACGCTGCAAAAGGTCTACCGCAGCGTTTTGGGAAAGGTGTTTTTTGGTGTAGTGTAGGCAAATTCCTGAACTTCAAAAGGTAGATTCTAAAATAGCAATGAATCAAGTCCAAGAGCTACAAATCATCTTACACGATATACATGTAGAAGGTATGAAGCTCTGTGTGTCATTTCAGGTCACTGCGATTATTGAAAAATTACCACCAATGTGGAAAGATTTCAAGAACTACCTGAAATATAAACGCAAGGAAATGGGACTTGTAGATCTGATTGTAAGATTAAGAATTGAGGAAGATAATCGAAATTCTGAAAAGAAATTTACAAAGCTGAAAGTCAATTTGGTGGAGCTAAATACTAGTAAGAAAAGGAAGCACTTGGTTAATGGTAAGCAAAATAGCAAAGTTAAAAAATTCAAAGGAGATTGCTATAACTGCGGTAAGCCGGGTCAAATTGCAAAGGTCTGACGACAGAAAAAGGAAAACAAAAAGGGCCAAATACACTTGACCGATGAAGACAAAATATGTAATGATGTGTCTGAACTAATGCTCTCAGCTGGGTATTTGAAGCAAACGTGGTGGACAATCTGAGAGAATGGTTCGTAGATACTGGCCCTACTTGTTACGTTTGTGCTGATAAGGAGATGTTTTCATCTTACACTTCTATAAATGGATGACAACTATTCATGAACAACTCGGCAGCATCAAAAGTTGTTGGTCTAGGTAAAGTAGTGTTGAAGATGATATCAGGGAAAGAAGTAACACTCATCGATGTGCTGAATATTCCCGATATATGCAAAAAATTGGTACCTGGAGCTTTGTTAAGCAAGAGTAGCTTTATNTTTTAATCTTTCTATTTAATTGATTTTCTACTTAGGCTTTGAATATCTTAAACATGTTAAATGTTTCATCAAGTAGATATAACAAAACCTAGAATGATCATCTATGAATGTTATGAAGTATCTATTACCTCACCTAGTTAACATTCCATTTAATTCACATATATCGAAAGGAATTAAGTCTAGCAAATTAGATTTCATTTCAACACTATGAAAATGTTTCTTAATCATTTTAGACAACACATAATTCACATTTATCATATTCTACATTTTCACATGAAATCATTCCAGTTTTAATCATTCTTTTTAAAGTGGAAAAGTCAACATGTCTTAGTCTATCATGCCTAAAGAAATAAACTCAACAACATAATTTAAATTTACAGTTTTATTGATATTATTGTCAGTAGTACAAAGTTTGACCGTTCCATCACTAGAATAGCATTTTCCTATAAATACACAATTCTGGAAAAGTATAAGTTTGCTCGACTCATATGTGGACTTTATTTTCAATTTTTCCAACAAATCTCCACTTACAAGATTTCTATTCATATCTGGTACATGCAATACATATATCAATGTGATCTTCTTACCGGATGTAAATTGTAAGTTTATACTTCATTTGCCAACAACCTTTGATTGAACTTCATTCCCCATTTAAATGTGCTCATCATTCACTTCTTGATAAATTTTGAAAAGGGATCATCATAGCACACATGTATGGTAGCACAAGTATCATACCACCATCCTTTAACCTTTCCTTTGACTGAATTTACATTGCTCACGGTAGTAAAGATATTGTCAATGGAGTTCACTTTGTTTCTTCTTGCATTGGTTGTTTACGATGTCTACAATCCTGAGCATAATGTCCGAGTTTTCCACACAAGAAATTTTGAATTTCTTCTTATTCTTGTTATCTTTGTTGGGATTTGTGAATTTCCTCATCTTGGAATTCTTATTGTATTTATTTGGTTGATCGACGACATGAACTTTGGAAGTGCACCATGAGAATGTTCATTCACATCTCGTGCCATTAACTCTTCCTCAATTCGAAGATGTTTTTGAATTTCTTCTAAAGAATAATTTTAGGAATTGTAGAATTTTATTCCTATAACTCTTTCATGAAGATGGAAATTTCACAATGATTGCACCAACTTGAAAGGTTTCGGGAAGATCAATCTTTACAACCTTAATTTTATTGACAATAACTTTCAACTCATGTACTTGTTCTAACAATGACATGTTATCCAAAATTTGAAATCAAAATACTTAGAAATAAGAAATGTTTTGGTACCTTCCTCCTCGGCTTTATATTTGATTTCCAATGATTCTCATATCTTCTTTGCCGATGTGTTATTTGTGTAAAGATCGTCGAGGCAATAGGAGAAATCATTCAAAATGTGTCCTTTACATATCAATTCATCTTCTTCTCTCTTCTTCCTTTCGCCCTGGTTTTGTCCGTGTCATTTGGGATTGGTTCTAACAATGGTGCCAAGTCCGGATCCAAAATGTAGAAGATCTACAAATATTTTGTACATTTTGTTTGGTTTCCATTATTTTCAAAATATATTTTTCGCTCTTTTATTTTCATCTATACATTTTTCAATAAAATAATATTATATGTGAATCTAAAACTTTTACTTATTTTTTTAACCATATGTCCTCCTTTAAATCGATAAAGAGTGTGACAACATTTAGGGTTTTTTTAAGCCAATATTTGTATGTAATCTAATTGTAGAAATTAATTACCTAGTAATTGTAGTATTTATATTGCCAAGAGATCGAAACGCATTGTCACACATTACGCATTTTAGAACCTTGCTTAAAATAGAATTGGAAAATTGGTAAATTGTACCAGGGGTCCCAAACTTTTCAAAAAAGTGTGGCAACTTCCAAACAGTTCAAGAAAATCCGTGGAGTTTCAAACGTTTCATTTTTGTGTCGGAAGTCCTAATTCTTTAAATTAATGTGCAACTTCAAGTCCATTGAACGGTTTCTGTCTAGAAACGATTACAAGTATCCAAAAGTCTCGAACCGAATCGGATCGAACCGAACCCGACCCGAACCGAACCGAATCGAGCGGTTCTTAATAAATTAAATACTCGAACGGGTAC